GTGGTAGGAGTAGGCCTAGGTTCGGGCCCAAAGCAGCCAGTTCTTCAAACCCCCAACAGGCAAGTCTGTAGCCGAAAGCAGGCCAAGTTCTCCAAGGCAAACACCAGGCTGCCGGGCCACCGGCCACATCCCATGGCAGTAAAAGTCTCCAGGCCACTCGCCCACCCTCAGCCGCCACATCCCCAAGTTACCAAGCCACTAGGCTGTCGGGCCGCCGGGTTGCCAAGCCGCCGGACCGGACCGGACATCAGCATATGAATAGTATAGGAGAAAAGGCTCCTCATTGAAAAAGGACAAATGGGAAAATACTGATTTTTTGTTTGTTTATCCCGAGGGGCCACCAAAGTCTCCATTTTCCTTCAATTCTGATAATTTTGTTCTCACTTTTTTCTTGCTCCCCCTTTTCCTCTGTACAAAATCCAGTGCTTCACTTGATTCTCACCTCCTCTCTTTTTCCTTGATTTCTAACCAAGTTACAGAATTCACTTTTCTTCGCCCTGGTTTGTTCCTCCAAAGGAGAAAGGGAAAAACTCTCTCCCTGTTGGATTTCCACCCTTCTCCATTCAGGCAGAGAAGGTAGCCTAAGAGCCTGCAGGGCGCCCCCTTTTGGAGCAAAGCGCTCCTTGGTCCTAGGGCAGGGAAATAGGCAAACCGCTGGCAATGCCAAGATCCCCAGTGGCTAGAGACCATTCGGGTGGCACGGCCTGGTCTCCTCTGAGAAATTCGTGAAGCTTAGAGGTCGAATGGTGAAGAGAGAGAGGACCAGGCAGAGACTCACTCTGTGTTTTTCTCTCCAATGCAGGGAGCAACCAGGCCATTTAGCAGCCCCCTCGCAGGTGAGTGGACTGGTGGGGGCTGTATGAAGGGAGGAGAGGGCTTTGAGGTTGACTGACCAACGGGTGGTGAAGATACTTTGGGGAAATCCCTCTTCTCTCTATTATTCATCTCAAACACTGAAGGGTGAAGAGTTTGGGGGAGAGGTAGAGGGGCTCTGGGAAGGGGTCTGCCTGCCCTCAAACTTTTAATCTGCAAGGCCAGACTCCCAGGATCTGATTGGATGAGGAGGCTCAGAGAACAACAGAGATGAGATTGGAGCGTCCCCAGTGTAAGTGGGAGGGAGGGGGAAAATGAAGGACTTCTTGAGGGTCCCGCAGTCATGGATGGAGAGGGGGCTTCTCTCCCATCCTAGCCTGACTGAGAATACCACCCTCCAGATGCTGAAGGAAGACCTGGGCTCTCTGGAGGCTGTGAATCCATTTGCACTTGTCTCTGGGGCAAAATTGACTTGAACTGAATTTGTATACTTATATATGGGGCAGGTTCTCACCAACCTCAGGAGCCATTCCCAGCCCTGCCCCTCCCCTCTTGTTACTCTGGAAATCCCACCCACCTGATCCCTCCCTTGAGGCTGCTGCTTCTGCTCCTTCCCGGGGCTGATCTTTGCTGATCCCTCAGCCTGGACATTGGGATTCCTCCTCTTGGCTCCCTCCCAGACGGACCTTGCCTGCTTTTTCCCTCCTCTCTGCAGCACGGATGGACGGTCCCAGCATAAGGAGAGAAGAAAGGACTCCTCCCTCAAGATGGCATGTTGAACGGTCAGGGATTCTTTTTCTCCTTCTGATGAACAGCTGATTTTGCCACCAAATCTGGTCATTTGGTGGCTTTGCTCCTGTTTTTTTGAAGGGGAAACTAGGAAAGACCCAGGATGACTTCTGGGTGATCATTAACTGACGGAGAACGTGGGGGGGGGGGTTTGTCTGGATGCTTGCAAAGAGCCATCTCGACATGTAATTTCTTGCATCTTTTCCCTTCAGCTGCTTGTCTTTCTTAAGCATGCCTGGGTTTTAATTGCACTTTTTGAATGTTTACAAACTTTTGATTTATGACTAGTTCTAACTTATTTTATAATGCCTAACTGGACATTTACAACCTTACATTTACATCTACAGAGGATTACACTATAAATTTTGTTTTTTCTAGTTTTTTTCTTTTTTTAAAAAAGACCCTTGAAAACTACTTTTTAATTTTTGATGGGAAAATTCCCCTTTCTTTAACCCTGAGAGGGTTCCTAACTAGCCTAGCTGACAACTTTGTCATCCAAAAGTTAGAGGAAGTAACTAGAAGGACAGCTATACTGATTCTTAGTAACAGAGAAGAAGTGATAGAGGGGGATGAAGTTGCCAGAACTTTCAAGTTGAGTGACCATGTCATATTAGAATTCAATATAATGCAGACATAAACAATCAAATATAATAAAATCAAAGTCTTCGACTTTAAAAACAGCTTATTTTAACAAATTCAGAGAGGCCTTGGGAAGGATCCCATGGATGAAAATCTTAAAGGGAAAAACAATTCAAGAAACTTGGGAAACTCAGAAAAATATTATTATAAAAGTCCAGTCCAGCTCAATACCACTGAAAAAGAAATGCAAGAAGAAACCAACATGGTTACACAAAGAACTCTCTGATAAACTGAAAGACAAGGGAAGGGGGACAGGTTGCCAGCGCGGCTGGTGGCTGTGCTGCCAGTGGCCATGGCTTGAAAGGCCACTGTAAATTGCTGGACAAGAGCCGCACAGCGTTAAGAGCAGAGTGGCGGGAAGATATTTGTAATGAGGGAGGGAGAAAAACAGGCATCCCCTGAAGGAGACCAGCAAATGGCCCTCGCCCACTTCACATACCCATGGACTCCAGGGGTGAGGACACCACGAGCAGCATGAGAGTCCACGTTACCTGTACTACGCTGCCCAGACCTCAGCCTGGGTCTGAGGTTGAAGTCCATGAGTCATAAAAGAGCCAGGTTTGCCTACCCCTGACCTAGGGCACAGGTTGGCAACCCATGGCTCCGGAGTCACATGTGGCTCTTTGAGCCTTCTGCAGCTCCCAGCCTCCTCTGCCATTTGCAGAAAGAGACAGAGAGAGAGGCACCTGCACTTCCCTTCTCTCTCTCTCTCTCTCTCTCTCTCTCTCTCTCTCTCTCTCTCTCTCTCTCTCTCTCTCTCTCTCTCTCTCTGTGTTTGTGTGTGTGTGTGTGTGTGTGTGTGTGTGTAAAAAGGAGAGTAGCCTCACGCTGTTCCGACGAGCTGACAAGCTTATTGGGCGGGGCTCCTCCCTTTGCTGCGTCTCTGCAGGAAGCAGGAAAGGCAGGAGAGAGCCAGCCCAATAATGTGTGCCAGCTTGTTGGAGAAGAGCCTAAAGCCAGCTTGCCAAGTGAGCAGAAGATCGGAGAGAGAGAGAGAGAGAGAGAGAGAGAGAGAGAGAAAGAGGGAGAGAGAGAGAGGGAAAGAGAAAGAGGGAGAGGAAAGAGAAAGAAAAAGGGAGAGGGAGAGAAAAGAGAAAGAGGAAAGAGAAAGAAGGAGAGGAAAGAGGGAGAGAGAGGGAGAGAAAGGGAGAAAGAAAAAGAGAGGGAGAGAGGGAGAGAGAGAGAACTCATGCACAGCAGCCTCTATTTCTTTTTAATTAAACTCTTCAATCAAGCTCCACACCCCTTGCGTGCGCGTGCGCGTGCGCGTTTTGCGGCTCCCAGTGTTTTCTTTTCTCTGGGAAATGGGTCCAAGTGGCTCTTTGAGTGTTTAAGGTTGCAGACCCCTGACCTAGGGCAATGTCATTCTTTTTTTTCCTTTTATACTGACCCATATTGCATTCTAGGAGGCTTTCATTCTTGGTTTGTGCCGTTCTGTAGAGATGTAGTAATCTCTTACATATAATGCAATCCCCACCTCCTCTTTGGTTAAGTCTGTTTCCTTTGAACAGTTTGTATTCTTCCATCAGTACATTCCAGTCATGAGTTTCATCCCACCAGGTTTCAGTAATGGCAGCTATATAATACTTGCACTTTGGATTTTAACTGCACTGCTGTTTAACCTGTTGACAATGTTTTCTTTCATACATGTAATATATGATAGGTCAATTAGGTTGCAAATAAATGTACACGCTTATACAGTTCAGACCTGCTTTGCAAGGAGGGGAACCCAGTATTCAACTAGGGGCAATCTTTAGTGATTTTTATCCTTTTTTAATTCTTTTTTTTTTCAAATCTTTTTGTTTAGCTTTGTTTTTTCTAATTTTTCTCTTCTGGATTTTATATTTTCCTCTTTTGAATAAAATAAAAATTGTCAAGAAAAAAGAAAGGAGAGCGGAAAGAAGAGGGGATCGACCTTCTTCTGAATTAGGCTGGACTCTTAGGAGGAGCCTTTGAGGCACCTTCACAAGATGCTGGAACCAGGATATATTTGGGTCTTTTCTCATTGCTTTTCTCGTTGAACCAATAATATTTTGTACTACGATTGAGGAACGGAGGTGAAAAGAAAATCTTATGAGTTCATAACTGTGGAATGAAAATGATTCATACTGGGCTTAGCAAATATTATTTTTATAATATTGTATAATGTATAATAGTATCTTCAATAATTTCTTTAAAGTGCATTCTAAGATTGTTGTTGTTGTTAATTGCGAAGTTGTGTCCGACCCATCGTGACCCCATGAACGTTCCTCCAGGCCTTCCTGTCCTCTACCATCTTCTGGAGTCCATTTAAGCTCACGCCTCCTGCTTCGGTGACTCCATCCAGCCACCTCATTCTCTGTCGTCCCCTTCTTCTATTGTCCTCAATCTTTCCCAGCATTAGGCTCTTCTCCAGTGAGTCCTTCCTTCTCATTAGGTGGCCAAAGATCCTGAGTTTCAACTTCAGGATCTGGCCTTCTAAAGAGCAGTCGGGGTTGATCTCCTCTAGGACTGACCGGTTTGAACGCCTTGCAGTCCAAGGGACTCGCAGGAGTCTTCTCCAGCACCATAGTTCAAAGGCCTCAATTATTTGTCGCTCAACCTTTCTTATGGTCCAACTTTCACATCCATACATTGCAACATTCTAAGATATCTGGATTAAGATAGTTAATATATTTTAATTAAAAAAATAAAAATTGCATCATTAATGGACTATATATTTGATCATCCAAGTTGGACAAACAATCATTATCCCGAATGTAGCATTCACTTTTTTTTTTCAGATTTTTTCCCAGATTGCCATTAATGGGATTTTCATGATGCGGAAAAATGAAGCATGAGATTGACTGCATAGCTAGGCTGCTTCTCCACTAATCATTGCACACATACTGCAAGAATGCCAAAATTGCTTGCCGAAAATAAATGGTTTTGTTTTCTTCTCACCAGAGTTGCTTCCTGTTTTGAGGTGTTTGCAAATAGGAGGGATTTTAACCTTGTTGCTCAGAGACCCCAACTTCACTTTGAGTGTGCGGAAGAGGAAAAAATCAAGGCAACACTTTGAAGGAACAAGAATTGAGGTGCTCCAGTGTGCTCCTTGGGGAAGAGGCAGCCATTTTGTTCCTGTGTCCGGATGTTTCTCCAGCATCACCAGCTGATCTTCTGTAAAATGGCCGCTTGGTCTTGGCTTGGTGGTGGCAGCAACAGAGTCGGCTTTTCCCTCAGATCCACCTTTGCCTCAGGCTGAGGGCCGAGTGACTCAGTATTTCTCTGCACTTATTGCATCTGTAGAGTGTTCCTCAGTGATCCTATTCAGGGTCACCCAGTCCTTCCTCATGAAGAAGGGCTCAGACGATCATCTTCAGGGTTGCGCAGAAAAGTTTGTGCGACACCTGACAGATAAAATTATGATTAACTGACAGTTAACTGACAGTTAGAACAATTAATCAGTGGAATAACTTGCCTCCAGAAGTTGTGAATGCTCCAACACTGGAAGTTTCTAAGAAGAGACTGGACAGCCATTTGTCTGAAATGGTATCGGGTTTCCTGCCTGAGCATTCCACTCCATTCCACTCCATTCCATTCCACTCCACTCCACTCCACTC